AATGCATAAAATGAAGAACGCTTATAAAGAAAATAACAGATGTAAGGAATTTACAAATTTCTCATAAAAATGAACCAGACGAATACTCTAGGCACTTGGCTACATAGACTGTGACGTAAAGTAGGAAAGAAAGAGAGAAATTGGGGAGGAAGGTAGAAATTACAGACAGTAGGAGAAACATATCAACTGAACAAGTGGATGCTTAAAAAATATGGTTAATTAATTGATATATATATATATATATATATATATACCACATTCTAGTGACAATCCCACGAATATGAGTAAGCGTTTTAGTTTAAATAAAGGCTTTTCTATAAATATATGCAAGATTGATACCAATATATATTAGATTTCATCTCGCTTCCCGAATGCTTAAATCTCATATCTTGCTACTTGGTGGTGACTGGTCTAACTGACTGACTGAAGAGTATTCGACTTACATGACTGCACTGACCACATATTTTCGCATTATATTCCCCGTGACAATTAGCACAATATAAAGTATAATATTATTAAGGTTAGGCAATAAGATGTTATGTCAGGAGGATAAGTTAATCTACAATGTTGTGGGGCTACATAGACTGAGATAGCTAGCCAGTAGGTTGAACAGGAGTCACAGGTGGTCAAATGAAAACATGCCATCCATCCACAAAGTCTTTGATATCTAAAGAGATCTAGACTGATTAACTAGAGTTCTCAAGACTCTAATAATCATTGACTTAAGGTTGTTGGTGGAATAGTTCAAAATCATCCTCAGCTGCACAGATGGATTCACTCTATGTATTCTCCCAAATTCATTAAATTCTTTTCAGAATTTTATCATGAACTGACATTGGTTAGAGGACCATTGGAAAACCTCCAGAGAGTACTGAACAGCTGTTTGGTCCCAATGCTTGGGACTCTTCATCAGTACGCATCCCCCAAGGAGGGTTCGAACCCGGGACCCTCTGGTTACAAGGCAAGCCAGCTCGTTGACCATTAATCCACTCGGACTCGTTCCAATGACCAATACATGAATCCTGGCTTCTGGCAATTCATGATATGGCACAACCACTAGCTAACGTCATCAGCGATTACTTGTCCTCACACCCGACCTGCTGTACACCACTGGTGTGTTAAATTAAATTAATTAAATTCTCATTACTTTCAATCTTACTATTCCCCCTCCTGCGCATCTCCGTTTACTGCAGTTCCCTTCAGTGTTTTTTTTCTCTACCTAAGTGTGCTATATGCAGTGTGATAAATGAAAGTGATGCATTTTTGTACAAAGTTCAGTGCTGAAAACTCAGCCTCAGAAGAGTTAAATAAATATACAACAGTATCAAGTGTCTAAGCAAAAGTATAAAAACGCATAAATGAATAGGTCTTCTCACGATTAATCCACAAAATTGTTTACATCTAAAGATAACCATATAGTTTGTTGCAAACTAGGTGGAAATAACTTACACAAAATAAAGTAAGATGGTGTAAAATGAATCTTTTTTTTTTAGGTTTTCCTGTGCTTTGAAATTTAATTAGAAATTGGAGTGATTTTGTCAGAGTACAATAGCCAGCCCTACGTCCAATCATCCTACTTCTTTCGAACTTAGAGCCGGATTGTAAACCAGATGTGACTGCAAACCTTCATCAACAGTTATCCACATTCAACAGTGAAGAGTAGATGGGAAGTCGGTCGGTCGGTCGGTTTTCGACATAGAACTTTGCACATATGTGCAGCAGTTCAAGTCGCCACACTCCCCCCTTGTAGCACACAAACCAAGAGGAGAAAGTAGGAGAAATGCATATTAGAGAAAGTAAACAGAGGTGTGAGACAAAGGTATAGTAACAACGAAGAACAACATAGTTTCATTGGAAATCATAAGTCACAAGGAGTGGATGCATCTGCACCGGCCAGTCATTGAGAACAATTCTGAGCCATATCACAAACTGTTTCCAACCATTGGTTTTTACCGTCCCGAGGACCCCAACCAGTCAGTCAGGAAGTCTACACCTTCCTACGTGGCTTAGACTAACTGTTGTAGATTTCATTGACTGGTGCCATGTTTTCGTTTGACCGCCGCTGGCTAGCTCTTTTCAAGCCTGACCCTATATCAGCCAACATTGCCCGTCGTTGATGTAGGGGATGACTAGGCATACGTAACACATATCCTAACCATCTCAGTCTATGTAACTTCACAGCCCCGTCGCTCAACAAATATTCAAGAGAAAATGGAGATGAGTTGGACATATTCTGAAGAGACCCCGCTGGGTGACATCACTCCTCAAGCCTTCACATAGAACCCAAATTTGAAGCGACAAGTCGGGCGTTCAAAGGCGACAGAAGAATGATAGATTAGATGAAGGTATCTTTTGAAAACTGATACATTCTAATAAAAATACTTAGACTTTGATTCATCTCACCCAGAATCACTATAAGAAGGCTTAGTTAAATGATTATGTAATCGGACCAAGAGCTTAGCTAATAATTCAGAAGATAATGAAATCAGACAAATACAAAAAAATCCTCATTAATGAATAAATACCCACCAGATTTTATTCAAAAATATATGAAGACTTATTAAGAAAACTAAAAATAGTAATATCAATAATGAAAATGAGATAAACAATTAGGAAGTCGAAGACTCGGTAGTACTGCCATTATAAAAAGGGAACATCAGACGCCCTAGGTAGGATTCTTAATAAGCCTGTACTTAAGGGTGGCATTTACACCAACTAACCTAATCACTCAGAAACAAAACCCCTTAGCTTAAAGATCTAACAAATTTGAATAACAGAAGACGGAGATTATCTGAAAAATGTGATGTGATGTATTCGCGCCATACATTTCGAACAATCTGATCCCTTACACATTTACTTGTCAAGTCGATATATATATGAAAAAATTAAAGGCAATTAAATTAAACAAAGTGACAAGAAAGGATTTAGGAATGATTAACACAACGTTTGATAATCCAATCAAATAAGGATTGTCAAGGTAGGTAAAGAGTAATAATGAACTGTTTTTGAATACACAGAGAGGGGGACTTAAGTTTATGAATAGTTACCACAAACTCTTATTTTTGTGGAATATCTTGCCGAAAGGTTGCAAAAAGCTATTGGAATTATTTGCCTTTGAAACACTGAATCTTTGGATATAAATTTTGTTGTTGGATAACACCTATAACTATCTATTTGCCACTCTGTGCTTGTTTAACACTAACTAATATTTATAATTGTATATATTGATGGATTTACATGTTCAAGTTGGCTCAAGTCAGTGAGTCTATGATTTTAGTATCATTTTGGTTAATTGTACCTGACTGTGATATTATTGTTGTTGTTGTCGCTTGTTAACCTTCTTCTTGTGAATTATTTTCCTGTGCTGGTGTTGTTCTGATTGTTTTAATCCCTGTTTTCCTGGTTTTAAGGAGAGCAACCCACATGGTCGCTTCTCTCTAAACTATATTTTAAGGTAAAAATCCCCTTCTCAGGCGTGTAAACAAAGCTGCTACAGAAACTTCAGCACGATGAATCTCCTTACGCCAAAAGAAAAAGTCTTTGTGAAGACATGGAATGTCCGCACCATGTACGAGATTGGCAAAGCTGCTCAGATAGCAAACGAAATGAAAAGATACGGAATTCAAGTACCGGGGATATGTGAAAGCAGATGAATAGATATAGCCGCAGCGTATTTCAGTAAGCGCCATTTTTATAGATGACCTTAAAGGCTGTGTTAACATCCGTCTCATTGTTCATCTCGATTACGTATGTGTCCGCTTACATAGGGGGGAGTAATCGTGCTTTGCATGTGAGGGTTGGAGAGCATATCCCGAAATGGTTAGAAAAACAAATGAATTGTGGAAAACCATTAGAAGCAGTTGGCAGACTACCAACTTCATCTATAACCAAACATCTAATCGAGAAGAACTAAAAGACTGATGTTAACATAGCCTTTAAGGTCACCTATAAAAATGGCGCTTACTGAAATATGCTGAGGCTATAGCTATTCATAAACTTAAGCCCCCCCCCCCTGTGTATTCAAAAACAGTTCATTATTACTTTTAACCTACCTTGATAATCTTTATTTGATTGGATTATCAGACGTTGTGTTAATCATTCCTAAATCGCTTTTTTATCACTTTGTGTAATTTAATTGCCCTTAATTCTTTCATATATATCGACTTGACAAGTAAATGTGTAAGGGATCCGATTGTTCGAAATGTATGGCGCAAATACATCACATACCACTTTTCAAATAACCTCCGTCTTCCAATAACACTATCCAAATTTATAAAAGGGACTAATTGTTTTAAATTAGATGAATGCAAAATAATACGTCATCAGTTAATATTACTGTATAACACTGTGTGATTTATCAGAATAAATCGATGTAAGTTAAATCAATAGAATATAGGAATCTATCTAGGTCTGACATGAACGATACTACTGAATAATTTACAAAGTCATTCCTACACATGCGCCTGCATGTAAACACACATTAGGATGAGACAGGATTCAAATATTAACATGTAATATAGTTAGGTCAAGAGATAGGAAAATTATCTTAATCTTTGTATGTAAAATCAACAATAAACACGTGAAATTGTAATAACGTCTATGGCTGATACATGGAAATTTGGAATAAAAGATAACAGAGAGTGCGTGGGTGGTTCAAGATTAAAAGTCTTGGCAACTGTACACGTGGTTCAAGGTTTTACTCCCGACTGACACACTATTAAACCTCGTCTAGTAGAGAAATAAGGCTAGAAACGAGGGATAGCAAACCCACTTTGCCATCACAAAAATTTTAAAGGCCATATTTTCTACTCGGAATTCTATGGAATGAAATTTTATGGTAGTATATTCTACCCTTATATTTGTAAAAAAAAACAGTTGAAATTTTGATTTTATATAGTTCAGACTGTTTCCCATACATCACTTAGCAAAGTTAAATAAGTTATTTATCAGTTAAAAATCACAAGAATACAATAACGTTTATTCCTTTTGCTTTTACTTACTAAACAAATCCATGTAAAGCACAGTGCACTTGTTTTAGCTATTTTGGCATGAATAGTCTTTCGAAAACGAAGTAATCGTTTTCCTGTCGGAGATATTACAACTGATTCGCCTATTTCATCCATCATTATACCATATCAATCAAAAATGATACAAAATGATACTCCATATACTCTAATATCATAAAATACACGCGTTATGAAAATCCCCAGAAATGTTCAAGGTTATGCAAAGAAGAAAATTTGATAACAACCAATCATATTACTAGTCAATATTTTTGCTTCATTTTGATTGGTAGTTGAAGGTCAGCCAATCATGTATATATGTATACATTATATATATTTATGCTTGGTGAAAAGAATGCGAATAGATAGAGAGTGAGTAGTGTAGAATCTTTCGATTTAAACAAAATGAAATGGTAGTGAAAATAGTGATTATCACAAAAAAATTAGGAAAATAAATTTTTTACCCTGTCTGTTTAAACAAATAAACATTTGGAATGAAAAGTTAGCGAAGAAAACTGACGAAATCATCTCCAGGGACTGACTGACTGTACAATCGTATTATTATTTACCAAAGTATATCATTATGTAATAAGGGGCTGACACAACACATAAAATTATTCATAAGTGGCTTCGGCATGAACAGATGATGAAGTCAGACACCTCTTGTAAAATTTGGTAGATAATCTCAAAAGACGACTGTGGTGGAACTGCGTGGGCTGAATTCACTAGGTGATCAAATATTGAGTTAGTAATCATATCAAGTTCTTGATATGATTATGAGCAATAGTTTATGCTCGAAACGTCATCAGTTAATATTACTGTACAACACTGTATGATTTATCAAAATAAAATCTTATCCATAATGGAGTTATGCTCTACCGCGGTGCCCAAGTTTTATACTTATATTGAAAAGAGTATTCCTTGTTCAGTAAACATTCCTTAAAACTCTTCAATTTCTTTAGAATCCTTACATTACTCTATATTTTGCATCGTTTCTATCTGTATCATTGTCACATCTCATCCATTAATTGATCCACCTTATTACATAACTCGTTTGACACTTATTCAACTTCTTTCACGCACTGACTAACATGAACAGCTAAAGTTTGTGACCACTCATCAATTTTTCTTACCACCCTCTTTCATGAAGAGAAGGTGCATATAAAGGCAATTGTACAGCTAAAAAATAGAAGAGGATATATGCGCCTAAAATAGCCTCTTCATTGAACTACGTACGTGTTCGATCATATTCCTAGACATTTGTGTCTAAATGGTGTATAAGTCCACAGTGGTTAGTACCCTCGCCGACCATGCACATGGTCCGGGGTCCCATCCCCTGCCGACGCACACCCGATATCTATGGTCGGCCTGTTAATTTGGGCTACCGATATCCAAGCTGAAAATTCCATAGTTGTACTGAAAAAAACGGTGTGGCATCGAGCTGTAATCAAAAATAAAAAAGAATAAAAAGTAAAAGTAGTGCGATTTTTCACCACCACTTACTACACACATAAGTCATGAAATTGATGCATTAGAACTCTTTATGTGGTGAGAGCTGGCTGCTAGCCAAAGTTGGTCGACAGTAATTGACATCAATGTTCATGTCCCCAATATTGGTGGTGAGAAAATGATAACGAAGGCTTTGCGTAGGCGGATACAGTTAGCATATGGATGCTCTGACACAGCCACAAAGAGATGCAATGTAAACTTTCTGTGAGAAACAACCAATTAAAAGACCTCATTTTCTACTAACAATAATGTACATTAAAATCTATAAATATGTGTTGATTTTCCTTGATAAACGATCTGTTGCCTGGCCCTTGTCTTCTGTTGTTACACTTAAAGTTAATTATCGCTCAAGATAGCTCCAAAGTGCTAAATATCACTGCCATTAAACAATTAATCAAGTCAAATCAATGCTCTGTAGGATAATTCTACGCTGGATAACAGCCGCTTTGGATCTTTTATACTAAACTTTCTAAAAGTTCAGTTGAGGCTGTATCTCACTGTGTAAAGCATCCTTCTTTGAACAAAGAAGAAAACAAGTGCATTTGTAGGATACCATAAGCTCGTCGTATCTCGTGGATTCTCTTCCACTATTTACATTCTAAATAACTTCCTATTATAAGTTACAACAACAAGGTTTGACTAGAAACAGAATAAAACATTAAGCAAAACAGCGAGTGAATGAGAATTCAAGAGGGTAAGAGTGAATGGTCAAGTCAAGTGAAATTATGACATAGATGAAACAATTAAGTTGATTTGGAAACTTAATAGTGAGTTGAATTCAGTACTAAAAAAATCAAAATTAATTGTAATATTACAAAACCAATACTTGAAAATTAATCTGATGCTCACTAGTGACTGGCCCTATTCAGGCAGTTAACCTGGGGTTCGAGTGGGAAGCCGTGAACAGTAGAGTACATCAGCTTGAAGATGAGGCAGTAACTCATCGAAGAGGACATTGCGAAATGGTCGCGCTATGTCGTGAACTGGCAGAAGTTAGAATTCAAGGACCATTGGATCTGGTCCCAGTGGCTCAATGGTATACGAGCTCACCTTGTAACCAGAAGGTCCTGGGTTCGAATCCCGGTGGGTTCATACTACTGAAGAGTCCCAAACTAGTGCAACGAAACAGCTTTCCAGTACTCTCAGGCTTTCCAGTGGTTCTCTAAATGATGTCAGCTCATGATGAAATCCTCCATGCAATCAAACTAAATCCCCATAAAACCAACACTTGATAATTTTAGTATTACGCAACAGAGGAAAACAATCACGGTTACCTGGGTAATGAGAGATTAGGCAAGCTGTCTTTCTGTATAAAGAGGTTGGGTCGAAGTCTTTTGGAAGCAATGACTTCTTTGAAACGATGTAACTTTGATTATTTTGATAGCCTAACTAATTTCCACTGTATGTTCCATGTCAATTAGATATCTGGCGATTGTTCTTGAGAACACCTGGCTGCCTTTCATACGAAGACGTTTCGTGACATGCTCAAAAGCCATCATATTATACGTTAAATTCACTCTGTTCCTCCGTTTAGTATTTTATCTCTAGTCACTCCTTGCTTCCAAATGAAATCTGAACTATCTAATTAAGTCATTTTTTCGGAGTTATGTTGCTTATAATTTCTGTCTATACCTTGAAGTCACTGTGGGAAAAGCATGTTTAGAAATTTTGAAAATTATATTTTGACATTGTTTTCGGAAGTAGGCAGTTGAAAAGAATTCACGAAATAAAATGAGGTCGTATTACCCTGCAAATATCCTCATTCTTTCTTTTTTTTCAAACTAATGCAAAGGACACTGTGATAGAGTATAACTTCATTATAGATAAGATTTTATTTTGATAAAATCACACAGTGTTATACAGTAATATTTACTACTGATGACCACGTTTCGAGCACAATATACTGCTGTTCATAATCATATCAAGTCACTCACACAACTATCTTGCTTCATGGATATACATGAGTAAAAATTGATTATTAGATATTTGAATAAAATCAGTAATATAAGATAAAGTACATTCGGAAGTAATATTAGTGCTATCAATAAAAGACAATAAGATGGGAAATAAGATGTTTGATAGTAAAATAAGTAAATGACTTGTTAGAATGTTATAATGTGAATTGAATACATCTTAACATTATTTATTATCCTCCTGTGATTTGACTGGTAATAACTTCTTCCATATCTCTGATATTTGCGATGAGTCACTTCTATTGCAAGTGTTGGGTGTAGACTGGATGAACCAGGTAGGATTCAGTAATCCATCTCACCCTCCATCTACCTATATTACTCTTTAGAATTTACACTCTGTCCCATCCACCCAGTTGTGTAGTTGTGTGTTAATGAATGCAGTGAGATTGTTCAACTTTTTCTAAATTACTTATCCTCTCGAGTGAAGTCAACGATTCTAACTTCAGCTAAATTCCTATGTTCTGACAATCTAACTATCCCTGATCTACTGTTTTGACTGACCTATATAGTTGACTTAACTCACAGTCTCCGCAAGGTATTTTGTAGATTATATTATTTTTGTTTAATTGCGTCAACAGACAGTGTCCTTTAACCTAAAGAGCTCGTTCTATCTGAGTGAGTTTGTAAGTCTAAATGTTACCGTAATTCCTGCTTTGTTGAGAATCCCACGTAGGGTTTCATCAATATACTTCAAAAGAATGTGATGAATAATCATAATTGTTGGTATTAAATGGTTAGAGGGAATCGGCAGGAAGCCTTGGACCTAGGTTTCGTGCTAGTTGGCACTCATCAGCAAGGCGTATCTGCAACCTTGAAGGAACTCATGCCCCTTCTGAGATTCGAACCCGCGTCACCCAGTGGTGTAGTCAGAGACTGCAGTGCTGCCTACAACCATCTAATATCAACAATTCACAGTGCACCGTAATGGCGAGCAACCTAGCAAGGTGACCACATTGCAAGCTTGACTGATAGAATTCAGTCTGCACCGAAGATAGGACTAGACACATTACACTAGCTACTGACTAGTGTGCAATCAAAAATCATAATTGTAACTAGTGCTGAAAGGAGGTGAAAATTAGTAAGTTTACATCAAAGTTGCCTAATACGAAGACCTTCATAATAAGTTCGACGTTAATGAAGAGAATTTAATTCTCAACAGTATTTAATGAATTCATTCAAATATATTTGACAGCACTCAAAAATGTGGCTAGTATGATTGCAGAGGGTTCGATTCAATGTGGATGGTAGTGGTGACATAACAAAGCACTCCCTTCTATACAACCAACCTGTGTAACACAAAAGTTTCATAATGATGATAGATATTTAACGTACTCTTAGAATTTGAGCAGTCATGAGAAAGTGAAAATTCACAACTGTTAAATGAAAGCAAGTCATTATAAACGTGGACAAATTCCTCTGGTAAGTTTTATTTTACTTTTATTTATTTATACGAGTGTGACCACGGGTTGATATCAGTTAGAGAACGATTGAAAATCAACCCTGCAGTACTGGACAGCTGGTTCATCCTAGTTTGAGAATCATCAATAGTGCACGATCACTGGGGTTCGTACTCAGGACCTCCTGGTTACAAGGCAAGCTCATATACCATTCAGCCACTGGGGCCCAATTCAGTGATCAGCCCATGAATTCCAACTTCTACGAATTCGTGACTTAGCTCAACCACCAATCAATGTCATCGGTGGGAACTCCATCATCACACTTGACTGGGTGGACCT